AGAAAAGTTATTTCTATATCTTGGAGTATCTGGTGTCGCGACGAGTGCCGTTCTGATTCGTTGCAAGGAAGGGGTGCAATACCCGGTATTTTATGTAAGCAAAACACTGACGGAGGCAGAAAAAAGATACTCAAAGGCCGAACGGGTGGTACTTGCACTTGTAAATGCAAAAAGAAAGTTGAGGCATTATTTCGAATCCCACCCCATAGCTGTTCTAACGACTTTCCCAATCAGAACGCTTATGCACAAGCCAGAGCTCTCGGGCAGAATGACAAAATGGGCCATAGAGTTGAGTTCATTTGACATAACGTATGAGCCGAGAACAGCTGTTAAAGGGCAAGCGGTGGCCAATTTCCTGCTAGAATGTGACGCCGAAGATACGGAAGAAGACCTTAGATGCGGCTCTTGGAAACTTTTTGTGGATGGCTCCTCTAACCAGATGGGGGCTGGAATTGGGATCAAACTGCAAACCCCAGAGGGAGCAGGGGCTTTGATCGCTCGGTGCAAGAGAGCACCCGGCCCGGAGACCCGGGTCCTTCTAATGAGAGGCTCCTCCTCAGGATCGACTTCACTGTCAGGATGAGGCCTTTTGCCTCGTTCTTTGTCCCGACCGCCCCCCGCAGCAGCAGGAGCTATGGTAGCTTGGGGAGACGCGCTCTGGTTGGCAGCAGGGGCGCTGGCAACAGGGTTAATAGCCACTGTGCTCGGGACAGTGTCAGAGATGGTGGCTGAGGAAGAGGCTGACGCTGGAGAGGAGGTCGCCCCAGCAGCAGGAGTGGCTGGGGGAGTATTTTTCTTCCTGCCAAAAGAAGGAATCTGAAGTCTGCTCATGTTGTAGCCGAGTGATGAGAGCGCTAAGAGGTTGTCTGAAGTGAGGAGATCTGAGCAGGAAGGAATATCGTTCAGAACGTATTTCTTCAAGTAGTTACTCCTATCCCTGCAAACACTATAGCTCAAGTCATCACAAGGTATTCCTAAGGAACGGCATAAGAAAGTGCAAAAACGAGGAACGCATGTTTCGCAGGGGCAATCATGTTTATGAGATTTGAATTTCTTATAGGAGGAGACAGAACAGACACCAAAGGCGCTCGGGATTGGGTAACCCTCTGCAGCCGGCGAAGACCAAGCCCCACTAATGCCCACGATGCTATCCCTCCAACCCTTCTCAGATTTTATTGTGTCCGTACATATGGACATCTTCTCGAACGGGTAGAGGTGGTAGAAGGGTTCGTTAGTACGGATCTTACTGACCTTATAGCACAGAAGAAGGTCTATGAGGTCAAGGTCCAGATTTCTGTCACGCATCAACAAGAGCATAACAGATATGATTCTAAAGAAGTTGGGGTTGACCTGCAGAGGGGATATCCCCAATCTATTGAAGACATAACTAAAGAAAGGGTGCAGAGGGAACCTAACAACATTCAATTGAAGGTTCGTGAATAAGACTTCGCCGGGCAGGAGGCCGGCGCCGGTCATAATGTTAACATCCTGAGGGCAAACCCTAACTTCGATGTTGTCAGGAAGTCTAAGTCTCATACGAAGAACATCCAGATCTACAACCATGGTGGAAGTGCTTGAAGAATCTAAAAGGGGGTAAATGGAAGCCTGCTGAAAGTAAAAAAGAACGAAACTAACCTCGGAGGACTGCAAGATCGCTGGAAGAATGACTCTTGAAGGATTTCACCAGAAAAAGCTTAGCACTGTTCTAGAAAGAGAGAGACTTGACTGATGATGGAGACGGTAAAAGGACGTGAAGTGGTGTTCTAGAGCATTATAAAGGCGAGGGGGCTCGAGGGCCGAAGCGTCGGGAAGGCGAGAAATTCCTCGAGCCCCGGAACATTGATTCTGGATCTGACCGTCCGTTCCCCCACGTGGTTATCTCGAGCCGTCAACATCATGATGAGACGCCATCAATAATTACCCCTTATTAAATAAGGGGCAATTATGGGGGCAGTTGAGGAGGCCCCGGACGACATGGTTAGGATCCGACTTGCAAACACTACATTCAGTCCGTACAGCTGGGTCGGCCCATATAAAGACACTGCCATATGGGCTGAACGCGAGTAAGCCCATCAAAGGTGACCAGGACTTATGGAGGAATAGGCCCAGATCCAGCAATCAGTCAATATCTTGTAAATATCTTGTAAATATCTTGAAAATATCTATAAATAGGATAAGGAATAAAGAGGAGGGGTATCTTTTTGGTTGAGGTGTAAAAATTCTAGAGAGAGAAAGAGGGGAACGAATTTCTTGCATCTTCAGTGTGCATTTTAACATGAGAATATGAGATCTCCTTGCATGAGAGCTAAACTATAGGTTTCTTTTATTTATTTATATTTTTTTATTCAGCATATTTAGAAGGTGCCTCATCTTTTATACCCTTTTCCTCCTTCACATCATACTTGTCCAACACCTTGGTTTAACACTTTGGCTTGTAATTACTATGACATTCGCTAGATTTGTAAATTAATTACCTACATCAAGTGTTGTGATGAGGACGCTTTCACGTGAATTTATAGTACATTCAATTGAAAATAGACAATAATTCGCTACTTCTTAATTATAAACAACTACTAATGTTGTTGGAGAATATGGATGAATTTCTTGTCTTTGAATTCAATCTCCATGCTCCTTGTAATCAATATGTGTGCACTTTTAGAAGTGGGTGTTTTTAATTTGCTTGTAGCTGGGAGGTGTTCCTCCTTGTTGGTTGGTTAACAAAAGCATGCTTAGGAATATATATGTCTCCATTGTGTTAATTATGAAGATGTGAAATGAGTAGTGCAGTATTTTCATGGTTTTTAGTCTTAGACAAGAAGACACTTCAAGAGATCACCCTATAGGTTTGTTTATTTTCAGATAAAAGTTAAATTTGGGGTCTTTGGCCTTTTCATTGTCTTGTTTGGGGTCTCTGGCTTTTTCATTGTCTTGTTTGGGGTCTGGCTTTTTCATTGTCTTGTTTGGGGTCTGGCTTTTTCATTGTCTTAGTTTTGGTTTGAGGTTTGTTGATATATCTAGTTCTGGTTAACAGTGCAATATGCTCTGTTTGGCTACTTGTAATGATTGTTTGCTGACTGGACAATAAAAAATGATTAATTATTATATAATTCAAAATTATATAGTTTTGATTAATTATAATTCCACACATAAAAAAGTGTTAACAGTATCTTTTTTCAAATTTTTATTTGCATGTCTAATTGTAATTAATTGGTATTTGTAATAATTTTTAGAATACGGAATCTCAATATTAAATTTATCAACTATCGATAGATAGTTTATCTCGCTAATATACGAACTTATTCACCAGCTTTACGGGTCGAGCCTCGTTATTAACGAGCTCAAAAGTAGCATTCTCAAGCTGCGTTTTTTATGCATAATCATGTTGTACCAAAATTATAAATGACTGGAAATGGCAAAACCTCTAATGCCAAGCCAAATTAGTTGTCGTTGTAAAGATGTGAGGAGGCAGAAGTGGGGCCCAGGCAGGGAGAGCTGAAGAATGTTACTCCATATATAGGCGTTGCAAAAGAAGGATTACTGATTGATTGCTACGTCAAAATTAGTAGCTTTACTAAAGGCAACATGAAAACTGTGGTTAAATTTGGGGTCTGTGGCTTTTTCATTGGCTTGTTTGGGGTCTGGCTTTTTCATTGTCTTGTTTGGGGTCTGTGGTTTTTTCATTGTCTTAGTTTTGGTTTGAGGTTTGTTGATATATATAGTTCTGGTTAACAGTTCAATATGCTCTGTTTGGCTACGTGTAATGACTGTTTGCTGACTAGACAATAGAAAAAGATAAGAAATATTGGAAAGGACATTTACTTCCACCACTCCACCCCAAATATTGGAAAGGACATTTAATCTGACATTCGCTAGGTTTGGATTGGACCAATTTTAAAATATTTTTGAATCAAATCGCTCCTATTGTTTTATTAAAAATTAAAACTGAACTGAACCGTAAAACTAATGGAACTGAACCAAATCAACCTATTAGGAAACGCTTCAATTCAGTTCAGTTCGCTTATACAGTTTTAGCCTTTTTTAGTATTCAATCCAATATATATTACATATAATATTATAATTTATTATAATATCATTATATATATATTATAATATATAGTTGAGTAGCTAAAAGGCTGATCTTATTATTTTATTATTTATATCATAAAAATATATATATGGTTCATTCAGTCTAACAAAATCGAACTAGACCGACCTATTCCTGATCTGGTTCAATTTGCCTGTTCAAACCTGCTTTTAATGCACCCTTACTAGTTGTCTTCTCTTGCCAACTGTGTACACTTACACTCCCACACCAGGGATAAAATCGTAAATGTGAATCTCTTTAGGCCCCCACAAAATCACGTGTCATTCGAACGCCACATGATCACATCATATGTTCTCTATTGCGAGAGAGGCAGAGAATATATATCATCTTCCACCGGAATACCCCTGCAACTACCATACTCTCTCTCTACATATGTATGTATATAAATGTACAGTAGTGTTCAACTGCTTCCTGGTTAGTAGGGAGGAGTATACTCACTTTTAATGGTAGCCTTACGATTTAATCTGACGGTAATAGACCAATTAAATGTAAACATTTCTACTTTCTTAACGGTTAAAGATGTATTTTAAAGTTTTAGGGAATGACTTTGGTTCATTTCCTTGCCAGACCATATCTCTAAATACAAAGACCCTGTGAGTTTGTATTTCTTTTGCTTGGCCTTCCCGTCTGGCTTTAAAGCTTTTTAGTCATGTAGTGTGTTCTGAACCCTATTCTATATATAAAGTTTACTTATCAAAGCCAAAAAATATGAGTCCTGGAATAAGGTCACTTTGATCCAAATAAAAATAGGCTTTCTTTAGATACCGTCTTATCTTTGCATAAAAAGATACAAGTACTCAGAGAAATTATAAATTCAATTTGATGCCATACCACTAACCTAACATAATTCAGTATAAACTTTTATGTTGGACTCATTCTAACTATAATCCTGCAGATTACCTACATAGAAGACGATCCAGGAAAGGTTCTCAAATGGTTAGATAGATTGGCTGTTCTTATTGGTGTTGCCAAGGCTGTGCACTTTCTACATACTGGAATTATTCCTGGTTTCTTCAACAATCGATTGAAAGCAAGTAATATATTGCGACTGAGCATCGGATGGCAAAGCTCAGCGACTACGGATTCTTCATTATAACAGAAGAAACTGACAATTATGAGGTATGCATCTCTTATTGAAAATGTAGATTTTGATAATAACGCTTTGGGCCCCTAAACAGTTAACCTGTCTTCTTGGCTTGTAGAAAAACGAAGGCGGCCTTAAATCATGGTAATGACATTTTCTTATCAACATCTATACTGTAGAAAGAACAGATATTTGAATATTCCATTTAAAAAATAAATAAAAATAAGATATGAATTTTCGGTTTCGGTTGAAGTAGCTTTGAACCAAGTTTATATTGTTACCTCAAGTTGAGTGCACTAGTTATTCGCATACAATTTAACAACGCTTACCCATATTTTCAGGCAAATGAAATGTCTTGAAGATGATGTTTACAGTTTTGGATTCATATTACTCGAGTCACTGATGGGGCCTTCTGTATCTGCAAGAAGGGAGGCAATTTTGCTAAATGAAATGGTATTTACCTGATCTGATTTAAATGTGGATGATATATACTGCATACATACCTGATGGTTCTTGCCCAAATATCACAAGCTACTTATGAACAAAATCAGCTAATTCTAACACTAACTTGGTTTATACCTGTTTACAATAAGTACACAACCTCTCTGTTTTTGCGGAAATGCTACTGCAGCAACTCTGCTGCTCATACTGGTTTTTAATGCCTTACTATCCCCACTCCCCCAAACCAAGGCTACATTTTCATTCATAGTTCTACCCCCTTATAATATTTCAGTATCCGTTCATTAGTGGGTACCACTTAAGGACTACCCCCTTATAGGATTTTAGTTATCATCGTTGGCGATTTTTCAAAGAGAATGAAAAAACTATCATCCGTGATTCAGTAAACTATTGTTTTTCAATCGTTTTATACTTCTTGATAATAATTGATATTACAAATACTGAATCTAGGTTTGACCTTTCACAGGCCTCTTTTGGCAGCCAAGATGGTCAGGCAAAGGCAGTGGATCCAATTGTACTCACCACTAGTTCGCAAGAATCTCTATCGATTGTTCTCTCCATAACAAACAAGTGAATTTCTCCTGATTCATCAACTCGTCCGTCCTTTGAGGATGTCCTTTGGAACTTGCAGTATGCAGCTCAAGTCCAAGTGACAGTAGATGGCGACCAAAAATCTGAGACATTGTTACATTCATGAACTGATTTGCTATGGAGCAGTTTCAATACACTGCCATTTCATCTCCGAAGTCGCTGAAACATTGTAGACAATTTGGCAGATATAGCATGCCAATAGAAGCATTGTAAACCCATGAATTTGCTGCAACTTGGCTAAATGAGCTGCTTTCACAACATTTATCATTAGGTTCTGTCACTGAATTGTAATACATATGGTTCTGTATTCATTAGTTACTGCTGAGAAAAGATCAAATGTCACCAGACGCATTAGTATACCTTGTCAATTTAGATTTTCTTCCACTCAACTTCATTTACCATCTGCTGAAATCTAAAACTGTTTTAAGAATTTAATCTGGCCTAAATTTTTGTACTTCTTGCTGGTTACTGCAACATTTTCTTATTGTGAATCTCAAGTTGTTCATCTTAACTGCCTGAAACAGTTCCAAGACAATCTCATTCATGGAAGCTAAACACTTTTATGTTTTGGAAGCGTCTGCTAGAGAGGTCAGAGAATTCGTGGCAACTTGATATTACTAAAGGATCTTCTATAAGTTTAGTTCTTCACAACGGTAGTTGGGTGAGACCATGGTTTATGGTTGAAGAAATAATAGAAATTTGGATTCAAATTGTTGTTGCACCTATTAAACAAGGGGTTGACAGTATCAGATGGAAACATGGGAATGCCTCTTTTAAATATTTTTGGAAGCAATTACAAATCTGAAGCTCCTAAGAAATATTGGTCCAGTTTGAAATAGTTGCTTGGCTCTCCAAAATAAACAGCCAACTCTTTCAAACCTGCAGCTTAGAGGTACATGTGTTACTCTTGTTTTCCATAATTGCGTGAGGAATTCTGATTTGAGGATCATTTATTTTTTGTTAATTTGCTCAAGACATTTGGAGATGGTTTGCGTGAGGTATAAATTTTGTAATTGACTAATTTCAATATCAAAACGTGTTTGATTGAGTTGTAATTTTCAAGTTTGCTTTTGTCGGAAAAGGAACTACATGTGCAAGAACTCTCAACATACTTTGATTCAATTAGAAGAACGTCATTTAATTCATGTGAATTAGGATACACGTTGTACAATTTTATTTAGTCGGAATACATTGCATTTTGAGTTTTTGAAAAACTTGATCTTAAAAGTGTGTTCTGGCAAAGTCTCACCAATGGCACTTTTGTTGGACCAGTCGCACGTTGACGATTAATAAAAGATTTTCGAGATTTATCACTCTCTAGTGTCTATATAAACACATTTTCTCCAGTGTCTATATAAACGACCGATGTTTGAGATCAATTTACAACATTAATTCCGTTGTTTTTGACAGAAAATTATCTTTGAATTTTCTGTTTGTTTGTTTTTATTTGAGAGTATATACTATTCCACGAGAGTGAATTAGGTTGGTGTTCTTGTACTGATAAATCATTAACAAAGATAGAGCATTGGCTGAGTGTTTACAGCAAATCAGCCCCATATTGCCTCTCTGAGGTCATCAAAGTACACTTTCCGGCAATCAGGAGGGTAAGTGACTGGATTTTTGTGTTTAATGGCCAAAATACCCTGGCATATGACCGATGTTCCTCTATAAGAACCCATTTACATTTTATATGAATTAAATTTGCAGAGGAGAAAGAGATAGTTTTCCATTAAAGCGACCAAGACCTCTCAAACAGCGAAGGTAAAAAAACAAACCCAATACGAACATTCCATTTTCAAACAGACCCTTTGATTTTTTTCAACCTGGAGCAAGATTCTTTGATTTATGAGACAAAGTAGTGTAGGTATACAATTCAGTTCTCTCTCTAGCTTGTCCATGTTATGGAATTTGCACTCATAATTTATCAATTCAGCATCCCTTTTTTCCTGTATGGCATCTAATAATTCTTTCAAAAGTAGAAGACCGGTAACTTTTTGTTTTTAAATTTTCCTGTATGGCATCTAATAATTCTTTCAAAAGTACAAGACCGGTAACTTTGTTTTTGAATTATATAATTGTGTGTAAGTAGGAACATGTCTAATGCAACAATTTAAACGTCTCTCTCAACCATAAGCTTCAGAGATACTGAATTTAGGTAAAAATGTTGAGGCTTCAGAGATACTGAATTTAGGTAAAAATGTTGAGTTGAGGGGTGTTGTGGATATTTTACACCTATGATATTTTATAAAATTTATAATAAATTAAAAAGTAGGGGTAAATAAGTAATTGTGACACTCCAGTGGTAGAGGGTGATCTTCGGGACCATATGCAACATTCGTACATTTGTTCCAAAACATAGTTTAAAGATATTTTTGTAATATTTTAATAGTTAGGGCCCAAATTCCCGGCAATTTAAATAACTCAATTATGAAACCTGAACCCTTAAAACCTAGTGAATAGATACAGTGGTTGAGGTGATCATCCATGAAGCTGTTGGATTTTTATTTGAAGAATTGCCTAATTCATGTCTTTCCAGTAAAGAAGAAGAAAAATAACAAGAAGGTATGTCTAAAATCAGTTTATTACACAGAATTTGTTAGTTGATCCAGTTATTTACAAATAGGTTACTAAGTACCTTTTTATAGAGGTCTCTTTCACTTAATGGATGGCTAGAATGCAGCTATGATTCACTCTTTAGAATTCTCATCTAGATATTTACAAAGTGTCTACTCTTCTCTAGTTCTTTAGAATCTTCCTTACTACACAAAATCCTACAACACTTCAGAATACTTCCATCAAAACTCCACACAACTCTAGCCTCCAATTCTCTACATTTGTCAAGCAAACTTTATACACAGTTCTCCTCAGCATTTGCAAGCCACTTGCTTAGCACAACCTCCTTTGATGGGACGTGACAATTTGCAATCATCGAAATGAAAGTAATTCCTCTTGAAATGTTGTCGAGAATCAATGAATGAGAGTTTGATAAAATGATTACACATCATTCCGTGGCTTATGGAGATTACGTTGGGAGTCGTCGTTTGAAGATTTAAGCCTTCAACCTTGCCTAAATGTGGTACAAGCTTGAGCCATAAGTAATCGAGGGTCCTACAAGGTTTTAATTGCATTTTGATGAACTTATGATGATGATGATGATGATGATGATGATTGGGTGAAGACAGTGACCTCCAAGGGTACTACGATTTGCAAGACTTTTTTATTTAGAAAAACGAAACTGAATAACTTTTGATGCATTTAGTCTTTTTTTTTGAGTATCCTAACTTATTAAAGTTTTAGGGAATGACTATGGTTTTTTACTTGGGTGATATGACAGAAATCATGATATCTACATCACATGTTCTCCATGCCTCACTGCTAACTTGTGCACCCTTTACATGTAAAGAATGTTATGTTTGTTTACATTATCCAGTGTAGGAGTATCGTCAATGTTATATTGGTCAGAGAGAGTACATTTCAAAATTAGAGATAATGAATGTCAGATTCGAAGCAATGGATGAATAGAGGTTGTATTTGGATCCATAGCTGCTATTGTTTTGAAGTTTCGAAAGAAAGAAATTTAGGTTGGAACTTGGAACCATGGTTTCCATGGAGCTTTCCCAGAGAAATTCTATTCTATATGAAAAATAGGTCTTGGGATGGATGAAAGGCCTTGTCATCATTCACGGATTGATTAGCATCTTACATTCACGGATTGATTTGTTGTGGAGCTGTTTCATAACACTGCCATTTTATCTCCATAGTCATTGAACATTCTAGATAATTTGGCTGACATAGAATGGCTTAGAGGCATTGTAACCGCACGAATGAGCTGCAACTTGGGCTCAATTAAGGAGCTGTTTTCACTACATGTATCATTAGCTCCTTGAATTGTAATATAAATGTTTTTATATGAATTAGTTACTTATAAGTAAAGATCAGAGCGTCACTGGACAAATTATTACTTCTTCAGCTAAGGAAGCATTTGAAGTATCTAAAGCAATTGGAGATTCAGTATAATAGAAGAACAGATTTTTGCTATTTGTCCATGATACAAGTGAACATCACACGCCAGGACAACTTTGTCACTAAGCTAAGAGTATTTGGGTGATAAGCCAAGGAAGGTAAGCAATTTTAATGGATTTTCAGTTCCAAATCAAACTCTATCACAGAACTTCTCTTAGTTCTCTATGGATTCTTTAACAGCCACCTTAACTAGGATTGAAAGCTTGAGAGTTCTTAGTCTAGTGTCTTTGTGCATTTGGGGTCCACTTCCAGACAAATCCATAGATTATATTCACTTGAATATTTGGATTTGAGTACAAATTATGTGTTTGGTTCAATTCCTCCTCAGATGTCTAGAATGGTGATACTTCAAACTGTTATAATGCATGACAATTTTTTCCTTGGACTCATTGTCAAATCTGTCAAATTTAAGCTTGAGGAAGAATTGGTTGATTGGGCAATTACGATCTTCAATACAGAGAATTGCCACTCTGACTGATGTTCCTCTGTCAAACAATGAAATCTCTGGCAAATTACCAGATTTAAGGAGTCATGGCATTATATGCCCAAAGGTCTAGTCATGGCATTTCTCAGCAACAACTCCTTCTCTGGCATAATTCCATGGCAATATGGTCAATTGGATCAGCTTCAATAGCTTGATCTGTCTTTGAATTCTACTAGGACACATCCAGCTGCACTTTTCTCTTTGCCCAACAAATATGCTAAGTGGATCACTTCCAATCCATTTGAGCTGTGGCAGTGAACTTGGCTTACATGATATATCTAATAACAGGATAAGGGATTAGTTGCCTTCTCGTTTGAGCAGTGAATCAGATAAGAGAGTAGTTAAGTATGGTGCGAATTGCTTTTCTATTGATACTACTCATCAGCATCCAGAATTATATTGTTTAGAAGAAGCCGAGCTGAAGATGAAAGAATCTAGAGGAAAGAATGTAGGGATATTAGTGGGCATCATTGGAGGAATTTCTGCTGTTATAGTGCTTCTGGCTTTTGGAATACATTTATTGCACAAATCAATACAAGATAACTCAGTCACAGAGTTTTTTCCTCTGAGCTCCTAGCCAATGCAAGTAGGTCCAATTGTGAGATCATATTGAACCTTTTTGTTTCTGGTAGTTCAAATGTTGCACACCTGACAACCTTGGGGTTTATAAAAAAATGGAGATTACACCAATAGCTTGTAAATGTAATTCCTAACATTTGATAAGCCTTTATTGTAACGACCCTAAACTAACACCATTTAAAAAAAAAAAATTCGGCATGACCTTCGCTAAAAATCGTCCTACAACAACCTGTTTAAATGCACTTTTAACTTGTCCCAACACAATAAATATCTAATACATTCCATGGTGGTACAACCACATACTATATCATC